AAAAAAAAATCTGACTATTATTTCATATGTCAGGCTTTACAAACACTATAATCACCTTTCAGGATGTCCAGACAGATCCTGCCCAGTTTGTCCACATTAGGATGGTAGATTTTGGTCATGAATCGGACCTTGGGAGCAGCCATGGGATACTCCTCTGGGAGGAACAGCTCCAGTTTGAACGTCCCGCCTTCAAAGGGCGAATCCTGCGGCCCAGAGATCACCACATGGAAATACCGAGCGTTTCCCTCATCAGGCTCCGCTCTGATTCCAGGCACAGGCTCGGCCAACAAGCGCTGCGTCTCCTGTCGAAACACACACGTGTGAAACACAACGCCAAAGTCATGGGTTCGAATGCATGAACTGATCACATGTAAACCCTGAATGCAATGCAAGTCGCTTCAGATAAAAAACATCTGCCAAATGCATGAATATAAATGTAATGATACTGATTAACTTTATTTGGTTTCAGTTGCATGAAAGCAAAATCCATTAGAAAGTACCCGCAGCTGCATTGAATACTTTTGATAAAGTTTGTCCATAAAACACTTTTAAAAATGTAGGGATGCACTTAGTAGCAAGCAAACTAAATATCCACAAGCAGAACGATGTCTAAGAAATAATCAGCACTTTTTGTAAACATACAATTCATGGAGATTCCTGTCATTTTATGTGACACCAATTATTTGATTTACACCAGTCTACTATTGACAATAATAGACTGGTGTAAATCAAATAATTAGTGTTATAATCCATTAAAGATAAACCAACGCCAAAATGGCACGTGACTGTGTAAGTGAACTGTGATTGGTCTGTTTAACTGTCAATCAGACGACGGTCTCCTCCTGTCTAAGTGGGCGGTTCTGGGCCAGAATAAGCTGCAGTGTGGATCAGACTTGCTGACAATTAAAATTCTGCAATACAAGATTAGAATCGTGTAGACAAAACGCAAACAAGTGGTGAATCTCTGTGTACTTAAAATTCACTAACCACATATTTACGACACACACTCTTTCTAAACAGCTCAATTCATGTCCTGTTTGCATGCAAACTCTCATTGCACGGAATATTCTGCTAACACATGCACACATATCCCGAGTGTTTCCGCATCTGTAAACACACCCGGAGTCTCTCAGCTGACAGACGCGCATCGCTGCTCGCTTACAATCGAGAAAGCTGTGATGCCACTGCTCTATGTCGCTCTTTCTATGAAGGCTATTCCCATATATTTTATGTGTTTGAAACAGTGAGCGCGCGGGAGCCTCCCTGCTGCAGCTCGAGCTCGGCCAGCAGCAGCACGTGCCGTTTTCTTTCATTTTTAACGCATTGCTTTCGCAACGCGCACAAATACCGTAACGGAACGCACAAGACAAACATTATGGGAATTATACCTTAATAATCCTGCGGGGCAATCCAGCCATCTCGTTTTATTAATGCGGTTTGCGCCGTGGCCCGGTCCCTGCAGCTCGCGTTGAGGTTGACAGCGCATGCGCGCAAGTCTTCCGGTAAAAAACGTCATCGTCTGTTCCGATTAGTTTTTCTGGGAAATGTAGTTTTTCTACTGAGTGCCTACTATTTTGTGTGCGTGTGCATTTCTAATTGTTTAAATGTTTCCCCCCCTTAAAACACTGTATAATCTTATACATGTATTCTTCTATTCCTTTATTATTTGTTTTAATATATTTTGAATCAATTATTAATCTTTTTTTCTGTTTTTTATTGTTCATGATATGTTATGATTATTTTTACATCCTTTTCCTTCGTTTAATAAATTTAAAATGAATAACTTTTTTTTTTTT